CCTTGTTAGTGAGGTGATAAGTAGTACGAGCACCACACCCCCCATCTCTTCACCACCACTTTAACATCAACAAGGCCAAATCACATGTGGATAATGATAATATTATTCATATGCCCCATCCCATCCCATCCCATATGGTGGGTGGGTGGCTTGCTTTGCTTTACTTGCAGGTCTGTGTGTGAGTGTGTGTGTTGTTGTGCCCCACCCAATGATTGGGTCACAGCAGTCTCCCTCCCCACCATGCTGACTCAGCACCATCATCTGGTGGTGCAGAGTTCTATGTCATCCACTCTATCATTCCCACTCCCATCCACAAAGGGGGGGTCATTAACTTACTCTCTCTAAGCTTGTTTTAGAAGGCATAGACAGGGCCTGATGCCACTTGAAAGCTGGTGCCTGCTGCTAAGATTATTCCATTATAGAACACAACAGAACAAATGCAAGTTGAAAGTAGGGTTCGTGTATAGCCCAGTTGTAAAATGGATGTGCATTTGCTGACTGTGGTTCTGTGACCTTGTTTTGTGATTTTAACATGTGTGTGTATATGTGCTTATGTGTACTCATCTGTCCTTTTGAAGTGATCAAGCCTTACTACTACTGAATAAGTTTCAGTGTTGTTTTCAACTATTGGAAGGGATACCATGGGAATGTTTACTTTCATATGCATTTTAGCTATCATGGAAGAGCTCATCCATATGATTGGCCCCATTTATTAAATTGCAACCATCATATTGTCAAGTGATTCTTGTGTAAGCATTTACTAGGTTATTGGTAAAACACAATAAGTGTCTATTTGCACTTAATATCTGTTTACATCAAACCATATTTTGAACAATGTCATTTGTAAGTGCAAATCAAGTGTAGCTACAACTGTATTATAAACAATGTAGAATGCAAGAATTAGTAGTTGATGTTTTGAGCATGATTAAAATAGAAATGTATTAAACACTTACATACAGGGTTGGTGAAGCAAGAGGAAAATTAAAAACAAGAGAAAAAAAATGTATTAGCATTTATTTAGGATCTTTAAGTATGAAAAATAATTTATGCAAGTCTAATTAGAGTTAAAATTGCCTGTGTAATAGAATCAATAGATGTAGGACTATACTCAATAGAGATTTAACATAATAAATATAACAACCCTAAGATTTGGTAAGACTTAAATGCCTACCAGGACCTAGAACACAATCCCACCAAAATATTTTTTTTGTCAATTCATCATAAAAGATATAAGGTTTCATGGTCACTTTTGAGAGCCATATGTTTATGAATAATTTTGGTTTTTTCAAAAATCATGTTTTTTTTTATAGGAGAACCTTAAATTTACAAACATATCATATGTGTTCATATGCTCAAATTTTAATGAACATGGTAAGATATAGTAGGAGAAAAATATATTATAAAACATATCAAAGAATGAAGTTGTTATTATTTGTTAGTAGGATTGTTTTTAGATGGAATAGAATTTAATAAGTAAAAGATACAAAAGTAAAATTAGATGATACAATAAAGTCCTACATAGTGGCTTAATTGTTCATGCACAAGATGGGGATCAGTTAGATAGATAATTAGTACAACATTATTCAGCTCTAGTCATTCTATGAAGAGACTCAGAGAGAATGAACAATAAGAATGCCAATTTATAAAAAAAAGTCATTGTATACACATCATCCCTTGATGAAAACACCGTGACAACTCCATAACTCAAGTTTTGTATACATTTCCAAATTCGGAAAATGGAATAATAAAACTCCACATCATGCATTGGTGTTCCTTCCTTGTGCTGGACAGGCATAATTGGCAAGTAAAGGTGCGTGCCTGACAGTTTTATAATAAATGTTGCTGTCTTTCAGCAGATGTGTAGAGGCTTGCCATTCAACTACAGCCCATTTCCAAGTTTCTACAGGTTGACATGGATAGATGACAAATAGGGTCTTTGACAAGCTTTTGCTTTGTGGTGTCTATGCAAAATTAGGGTTTATGGGTTAACAACCAACCCAGTGGCAATTCTATAATTGGTTTTTTCATATCAGCCTCCATCATGAAAATACTATCTCCCTTTGAAGTAGTTTAATGAATGTCAGAAACAAAGTTAACACAGCAAGGGGATTTAGACTCGAGGCTTTTGGGTGATATTTCACTTGTGATGACATTTCAAAATAGCACATGATATTTTGAAATCCAAATACAAAAGAGGGGCTGTTGAAATATCAATGTGACCATGGCAATTTGTAGATTTAGGTTGCCAGTGTGTTTACAAAGGAAGGAAATATAGAAAACAGTCCTAAAAAATTGTTTGAGTTCTTGACCCTGTCAACATTTTATCATTAAGTGGATATCCAAAATATTTGTTTGTTTGTTTATTTTTACCCATGTCCACATTCATTTGGCTAACAATCACAGAGGCAAAGATGAACTAAAGAGTGGTCATTGAAACTCAGAATGAACATATTCAACAATTAGCATTTAAATACGCATATATATATATATATATATATATATGTGGATGTATGGAAATTGACCACTATGCTGGTGCAGAGGTTCCTTTTGTGGTCAAAGATGAATGGGAAGTTGGCCAGTCAAAGCCATCCCCATTGCAAGTATATACTATTATTCCCCATTTTCCCATTTTGAACATGTTAACTATTTATACCATTATATTCAAACATTGAATTATTGAATCCCAGTACATCTGCACTGATACGGATTGCGTGTTTTTATAAAAAAAAGAAGGTTTACACTCTATAAAATGTGCCACGAGGAATAATTTCCGTTTCATTAAATAAAAAAATAAAATAAAATAAAAAATAAAAATGGTGGAGATGGCATGGTTATTTTAGCAAGGGGGGCATATTTTTGTTTTGCGGGGTTCAGAAGTGAATCATTCGAAAGTTTTCTTGGAATGGCAAACTGAATATGGCCCTATCCGCATAACAAACCCTATTTTTGATATTTAAATTGCAAAAACGAATTCAAACCACATGTTTTAGCAGTAGTAGTCTATATTGGGGCATAAATTTGTATTTCAGTAAAGGCCCTCTATTCATGATTTGGCAAGTGTGCCACGAGGGCTACTGTCCGTGCCTTGAGAATGTCCCTTGTTTCGGATGTACGGACCAGACACACACACAACATTCGTTTCTTAGATCACGCTGGGGCCAATCCACTCCCAGGCACTCCATCCATCCATCGAACCCCAGATTCCGTCCACATACTTCATCCATATTACAACCAAGCATGTAACTCGTTCATCCACATGCTCATTGTTTCATTCATCCGTTGATATATCCATCCATCCTACCTCTCTAAATGCTTAATTACTCTTGAGCCTTGTAAGGCCTTACAAAGGAATGGTGGAAGTTGTCTTTGGTTTATTGAAAGACCCAAAATTTGCATTACAGGATTTGATGCTGATTTGGAAGCAAAAATTATACGGCCTTAATAAAGGGGGGTCCTGGTTAAGTGGGAGTTTTGACATAGTCTATTGGGACTAAAAGCATTCTTTTGCTGATTCTGTGGGGTTTATAGTTTCCTATCGAGCGCCCTGTCTTTTATTGCTTGTCCACCAAGAAATGCATGGACAAGAAAGTCCATACTTGTGATTGGTTGAAGTGGGGTACTAACTATTCAAAAATATATATATGTTTTTATTTTTCAAAATTATTTCGAATTTAATATTTTCTCAGTAGCTTGAATCCGTGGAACAAAGCGATGGAAGATAAATGGAGAGATTACTTAAAAATTCTATTTGTAATGACAATAATTGTAATCCAAATATCGGTAAAGTTATGCATGTTGTAGGTAAACTAATATGGGCTCAGCACCCCAACAAGAGCAGCATAAGACGAAAGCAATTCCAAGCACAAGGGCAAGAGTCCTTTCCTTGGTTTCCATGAAAAACTGTTTTTTTGTTCCTTCTCACCGTTTGCTACAGCGTCGTCACAACAGCTTCATCGTGCTGCTACCACAAGATTGTTTGCAATGTGGGGGAGACGATGCATGTAGCGAGTCAACAAAGCTGAAGGAAGGATGGGAGGAGGGATGGATCCGCCGAGGAGAATGAGAGTCCTGTGTCTGTCTGTGCTGCTGTGCCCTCACAAAAATTTGCAGCAATCTGCCTTAGGTTGGTGGCAAGGCCCTCTTCACATCTGCAGAAAGCAGAACCTGACGCGAGCCCCCTCCCTGCCTAAACCCCCTTGCTAGATTCACTTGAGTCAGTCGTCGTTGGATTTTCTACGCCTCGAATCATGTGTGCCAGTTGTAGTTTCTGTTACAAACCCCACCAGGAGCTCAGTCAAATCGAGGGGGTGTGCCACCACGAGAGAATCCTTTGGCGTTGCCGTGCTCCTCTGAAACTTTGTCACTGTTCTTTGTTTACCTATTATTTTGCTGTAGAGCCCTAACGGTTCAAGGCACGAATTGGGCCCCTGTCTGACTCAAACCTTGATGGTGAGACGACCCCAGAGGGTGGGTATATATTGGAAGTGGCAGCATGTGGTACCAGTGTCCACGAGCTCAAGGGTGAAAGAGTCTCTGTGAGAGTCAATCGATCTAACAACTGGAGGCTCATATTTTTGCTTACCATTACTGATCCTCAATAACTACCGAAGTTGCTTGTAATTCGCAGAACTACTGGAGAAATGAAATCTACTTCAAAAAGAGCAAAGACCACGAAGTTACTTTGAGTTGGTATATCCAAGTTCGTAAGAAATTTTACATGCCCCACATGAGTCGTGCATGTGATATTAATGCATTTGTGTTTTATTCTTTCAGTGCATATTTTAGAGGAGGCATTCACCTGTGCTGTACAGTCTTTCTTGTTGTTGGAATTAGCACACAATGGAATGGAACATAGCGTACAGTGTGTATATTCTACGGAAGACCCAGAGATCGTGGTTAGGTGCTCTCTGGTTTGTGACCTCGGGTGGTTTTGGGCCAAGTGCCTGATTTTGTGTGCTGGCCAGAACATTCTGTTGTAAGTGGAGAGTACAATGCCGAAGTGCTAGTCAACCTGCAAGCGGTTGAAACAAATACCTTTACAAATATGAAAATAAAGGTCAAGGTCATCTGGGCTTCAAAAGCACTAAAAACTTATTGTAGAATAACTAAGGTTCATGGAATGAAGGGTGTGTGATAATCCTTCGGCTTCAACCCAGGTCAGCGAAGAACACTTGAGAACCTTGACTGAGTGCATTAACCTGCATCCAGGTAAATTAAGTAAGTTGACAGTTGCGACATACATCATTAGCATATTGCAAATGAGTGACTGGTCAATACTAGCATATGCCAACAACTTTTAGATGCCATAAAAAGCACCCCAAGAGCACGTAGTGGTAGAGTGTACAACTGTAGCCATTCAACTGGACTGGATTAGCCATTTGATTCTCCAACATTCAGGAAGCAGAAGAGGAAAAGAGACGAAATTGACAGGGTGAGATACATACATTCCCTCTTTGAATCCCTTCATCTGGAATTGGCTTCAGTGACGTTCAGTAACTACTATGCTGCACATATTGCTCCAAGTGGCCCTGACAATTCCGTGAAAGCAACTATGTTATCAACCACCTTGATAACATTTTATTTATTTATTTATTTATTTAACCCCGTAAAAAACTTGTTCCTGCCATTGAATATGAGTTAAGGTGAGCTAAGACCAGCTACGACTAGCTAAGATGAGCTGAGATGAGATAAGACTAAAATGGACTTCAAGATTCTTGAGGTTCATGATCTCCAACTCCATGACAGATTTGGAGCATGGAGTCCTTTCTGTGGTGTTTTTTCACAAAACTTTTCCAGATTGCTTCGATATCTCCAGTTGTGACGAACTCACGGCCTGCTCCTTCCGAGTACCAGCCATCAAAGGAAAACTTATCTCCTTCACGATTGCGGCGAGCCATGAACAACGCGAAGTAAGTGTTTTCTAAGTCTAGCATAGTGAGATCTGTGAGCTTGTCAAATGCGCCTTTCTTTCTCCTTTGCCATGCCTTCAACAATAATGTTGCAAAAACGCGCAGATAAACATTAAAATAAATGTCAGCTCGCAAACTTCTTGACAAGGGAGTCGAAGCAATTTTTGGTACTCACGATGCCACACTTTCATTCATAAGCTATACCTATGCTCCCAGGTCATAACTTCGAAGCCAAAAGAACGCAACGTCAACATAAAAAGATGAAATCAACGTATACCTCTAAAAGACTACAATATCTGCAAGATTCTGTCGTGATTTTCAGCTCTTTGATGATGAGTGCAGTTCAATTACCTTGTCCCCCAGCCTGCCGTCTCGTCTTGCCTTCTCCCTTAGCATGGCCCATCGTTGTGCTACTCGAGCTCTAATCTGCTCCCTCAATTGGGCTCCACAATTAGCGCACAGAAGTTTGGCTGCTGGGTTCTTGCTGTGACCACATTTGATACATTTTATGTGTCCTCTTGACGCCTTTTCTTGGTCGAGATAGGGAGTATTTCCCTCGGAGTCATCCTCGCTCTCCTCATGTAGAGGGCTATCATCTCTTGATAAACCAGATCCTGCAGTTGACAAGATATCTCTCAGGGTTGTGCTGCCAACGAGAATGGGCATACCCTAAGAACCAAGAGTTTTCAACTGAAGGCATAAGGATAGGTGTTTGTATTGCATCAATATTAGAAGAAATAACGATCTTGATGCACCTACTTGAATGAAATCATCCATCACACGGAATTGCAAAATGTGACAGCAACGGCAACAACACATTTCTCAGTACAAGGGTGATCCTTACCCTGTTCTGAAGGTCCCTCAAGTAAAGCAACCATTTCACCCACTTCTGCCGGATGCTGGTCTTCGTTGTTGTGTTGTTGCAACGTCTCTGCACCTGTGACACGCACGAAGAGAGTAAATTCACACGTTCCCTTAATCATAAAGTTGAACCAGGGGTCCACCCTAATGATGGCTCTAACTTTTGACACTTCCAGTATTATTCTAGAATGAAAACTTGAGCTGCAAAGATAAATATCTAAGGAATCAGACTAACGGTTACAAAGTAGCGTGCAAGTCCATCACCTATCCCTATGAACATTCGTTTGAGACTTGCAATGGTTTTGGGCCACAATTATGGCAGCCTAAAGGCCACAAAAAGCAGGATCAGGTGCAGTAAGAAATACAGCAAGCTCTTACCAATCTCCAAAGATCGAGATACTGTCTCCAATCCACCAGTATCGGGAACGATTACGGGCGGTAGACTGCTCACTCTGGGTTTCTTCAAAGGCAGGTGTTGCCAATCCACGATTGTTCCCACCTCTGCAATAACATTACTGGAGTTGGTGGGATGGGCTACTTCTAACATAAAATTGCATATAAGATGCAGGCTTCTCAATATCTACAATCTTCTGACGCGAATATTCTTTGTGATGTGAAAAGGTGCACGGCAATTATGATTAACTTAGAGCAACGAAGTGAACAGCATACTACAACAGTACATGGCTTGCATACTACCTCTCTTGAGTGCTACTTCCAGATGTTCTGAACAAGCACAGTTCTCTGCGTTTTTGTTCAGTTGCAATTCAGTAACCGGATTGTGTTGCATTACATTCACTGTCAATTAGAGTTGGTTGAAGCATTGCAAATACCTCCATCAGTTGGGACCCAATTTTGAATTGGCTGTGGTTGCTCATTCACTGGATGCAACGGTTCCTGCATTTTCTCTGTTGTACGTATTTCAAAGACTTCAGTCTCCACCATGGTCTATCTGCATATCTACTGGCGTTTTGTCCTCTAAGTTAAAGAGGTCACATAATTCAATTTTCAATTCTTCGATTTCCTAAGCCTACGCCATGAACGATTTTTTTTGAGAAAAGGGGAAATACAATGTGCTCAAGACCGTCTATGATCCAATCTATCTGGTTGTATTCTCTCTGCCTGCAATTTTTTTGGAGATTGAAGACAGACTCTAACCTTGATAAGCTGCAGGAATGACAGTGACAAAGTTCACCGATCCAGGTGAGAAATAGTCCATGCTCAATCCACTGTCATCAGCTTCCAAAATGCTCCCATCTCCCATGATCACTGTAGGCGACTTGAAAACTGCCAGCACATTGCTTACCCTAACTCGATTCTTATCAGTCCCAAACAAGTTCACCTTAAAACTCTGTGATTCGTTGAGACTGTTCACGAAGGTCACCTTGCCTGCCATTGCTTCTGGACATGTAGCTGCAAGGAGTTTACAAAAGACATGAGCATTACAGTCGGGTCACAATGAATGCTCAAGGACGGCTCTCACATCTTGAACTTCAGGAACCCATCACATTTTTATTTAAAAAAAAAAAACCAACAACATTAGTGTTCGCATGCTGCGGCGTCTATTATCCCTAAACCTACGACTGACGTTCATTGAGCCATCAAACTCCGTTTCTTAAATTCTTTATGGCACAAGCAACAATGCCAAACGCTCTAAACCTGCCACATGCACACGCGATAAGCAAAGAATTAGAGGGAAACGGTCGTTTTGTGCGTCAACAGACCTCAGCCAATTGAGTACTTGTTACATAGATGTTAATCAGAAGACCATCGTCTCCTTTCTCTCCATCGGCGAGGTCGAACTCACAGCATCCCAGAGCAGGAACACACAAGAGGGATAATCAAGACACTGTTTGCCCGGAACAAAGAGTTGTAGTCACTCTCGACATACCCTCAAAACCTACACTCCGAACCCTCTAAATCTCAACACTAAGACAACGGTTCTGTAGGTTTTCCCAGTGCTCGTCACGAAGAACGATTGAATTGCATCATGATGCACACACATAACACTCTCTACGGCTGATTTGTCGCTGCGTAAGTTTGCGCAAGGGACATTATGGCAGTGCAGAGCAGAAGATCGAAAGGAGGTGACCCCACAAACACAGTCAGCTTGAACGCACCAGGACTCCATTTACGAAGTGAAGACACTATGGCGTTGAAGCTATTTCAGCAGGAAAGACATATTCACTTATTCTAGTGCCGTCGATCTCATCCCTGGAGTGCACTGCACCGTTAGATGGCGGTGTTAAGAGGAGACGAAGACCACGACAGGGTAAAATTTGGCTCAGCAATTTAGAAGGGCCTCTTTCAAGTCGGGTCTCGTTCAGAACCGAGCGAAATATTGATCGTATGGAAGTTTAATGGTGATCACCATAATCAATGCAGAGAATGAGTGTTGGATCTCAAGGAGTTAGGGTTCGATCGTAGAGACTTATACCTACATTTGGAGATGATTTTTGGATTGAAGACTTCACATATTATTGCTTGAAGCTGGAGGTTGGTTGTCTGAGGGCACCCAAGGGTGTGCAGAGTTAGCCGCATCGCGTTTGGGGCTCTGATCTTCACGATAAAGTGGGTATTCCGGTATCTCTCTGACTTCTTGCAGACTTTGCTGCTCACAAAATTTCTCTGCATTGTGTAAGCCTGGTGGGAAGTATTTTGAGGAGTATATGTCAGGGTTCTGAAACGTGGATGATGGCGTTTTTGGGGTAGGTCTGTGAGTATGAGAGGAGGCCGTAATGTTGAGTCTACGAGCGTTTCGCTCGACAAAGGATAAATTGATGAAATAATTGCTGCACCTGTGACAATGTTGTGACATGGGACTGGGAGCATCGCCGGTTTCGTCCCTTGCAATCACTTGTGGCTCTAAATTTACGATGTATCTTCGCGATGAATTGAGGGGGGACAATACCGAAAAAAATAATGGCATTGGTTCATTTCTGGGTGGAGTTGAAACTAAGCTTGAAATGCTGGTGGATTAATGCAATAATGTGGTAAGAGAGGCGTAACGTAAGCCTTCTTTTCGCATGCAGTAATTGGCGATTGCAAGTCTCTCTTCCCATTTGTTAGCAGCTTGGCAGTGGAAGAATCCGAAAATGCATCCCTCTTGAAGTGTATTTTAAGTTGAGACCTGGTCCTTAAACTTCAGAATTAATGCACAGGATGTAGAAACAGTCCGAGTTATGATAATTATATACCCAATTTTGAGTTTTGGTTCCCCTAAACGGATTCTTTAGCTGTAGGCAACGATATGGTTACGCAGTAGCATCTCTTGGCTGATCCAATCGTTTCTGGATTTTGCATTTAAGAGTGGATTTCTTGCCATCCAACCGGATTTCCTTTGTAGAGATTTGGTTCTTGCTGTGGTCGCATGTTCAATCCTGTAAACGTTGAAGCATTTGGATGTCAAATCTTCTCAGAAAATGAATAGTCAGCAATCTGTAATGCTTGGACCTGTGCTTTAGCATTCACCTTTAGTGAGTGTTCGTGCAACAACTGTTAGACGTTTTGACAAAGCTTGCTCTGGTTAATGTGCTTAGAGTTGATATAAATGCAGGTGGTGTACGAGGTGAATGTGAAGGGTGTCGATGAACGTCGTTTGGTTGGTGTGGAGCTCCAGAAGCTTGTGCTACTTCTTCCTTCTCCTCGTAGCTGTTCGCCTCGTGTATATTTTTAGGAACAAGTGGAAGGTTTGGTATAATTGCTATTTAGGTGACATTGTCTTCTGATGTTGAACAAGAGTTTATTTCAAGTTGTGGAGTTCTAAGACATATGAGTAATGAGAGTAGCAAAATGATAATAATGTGTCCATGTTTTTCATTTGGGTTTTGTTGGCTAATTGCAGAAACTGAATCGAAATCAGGTCCTCCAGATACTGAGATCTTATAATATACTTCAACTGTTCTGTTGCAGTGTGGTGTTTCTGCCACATGAGGGGGATGTAGAGCGGCCACTCGCTGCGTTTGGCTGTTGAGATGGAGTTATCAGGGTTATTTCCATGACGTTGTGGCAGGTTCTCGCAGTTTTCGTCCTACTATCTAATTTACTTTTTCTCTACTCATTTTTAATCAATGAATCAATTAAGCCCACTTTTGCAACGACAGAGTCATTCAAATTACAATTGTTGTCAGAGTAGATCTGCTATGCCGTGCTTAAGCCTTTTGAATCTTTGTGACATATTATGCGGCGATACATTAGTGGTCACTAAGACCCTGTTTAGTGCTTACTAACATTTCAGACTTCATCTGGCGAGGAACCTTCTTTGTCTATTTTTAAAATAATAAATCTAGAGATATTTTTTCTTGTGTACTACTCTAAAGATTTGTTTTTAATATTTTATTGGGAGATATAACTAAGTAATCAATTGCTTGGGTGGCTTTGCAAAAACATCCAAAATTAGTTTTATTGTAAATTGTAGACACAATTGGTTCAATGATGGAACATTGAGTTCATAGTCAATATTCTCTTGTTAATTAATATCATCCATTGCAAAAAAAAAGTATTAATTATTAGAGATTACTAATTATTATAGTTGGTGTGTTGAAGGTAGGATGAAAATCATCTTTGATCCTATCTTGATCCTATTGGCCACATGGTTTTGCCTTTTCCAATTATATATAGCCACATGGCTTTGCCAACCATGTGTCTTTGTTTTGTCCAATTATGTTCAATCATGTGACCTTTGTGAATTATATATACTAATTATTAAAAAAAAAATCAATTATTTATTAGAAATCAGGGATCATTGAGTATGCACCATAAAATAAAGTTAGTTTCTAAAATTTTAAATAATTTGCAAAGGTTATTAGTTTTTAAGAGATGAATTAATGAGAAGACCATTGTATATAAATGGTGACCAAGCAAAGAGAGAGTTCACTACTTAGCTCTTAAGTAAGGTTGTTGATATTTATATATTATTTTTACAATTTGACTTTGTGTCACAAATTTATTTTTATTTTTTTTGAGTTTATTATACATTAGTGTATACTTGGCGAAATTATTTAATTACAAATTTAAAAATATATACTTAATAGGTTTAATACAAGGATTGTAGTAGCTCCTTTACTTGTTACTATGTTCAATGGTAAAAAAAAAATACATTATATTTTCTAAAATAAAGAAAATATGGTGTTATGTTTTCATATCATACCACCAATTTTACCCATAACCCGAAATATCTTATTTTTATTTTTATTTGAATGAATTTATAGAATTCTATAAACATAAGTTCAAAATTTTATTTAGGACTTTTTTTTTAATACATGTATTAATATGGAATGTTACTAGCAAAAATATAAGTTCAAAATTTATGCATTTATGTGTTCTTGATTTTGCATTATTTAATTATGTTGAATTGCGATAATTACTCATGAGAAAACCCAATATAGTAATCATAAGCCATAATTGATATTTTATTTTTAAATCAAAAAATTATAATTATTATATATAAACATAAATAATGTATGTATGTATGTATATATATATATATACATACATAAATATAAAATACAGATAAAAATACATAGAAGATTTTATACTAAATAAATTTAGCTTTTTTGAAGTGACAAATATAGCCACTATTACATTGTATATAGTCTACAAAATATTTAATGGATATTTTAGTAATTTAAATATTTTTTCGTAAGTTTTTTAATTAATAAAATTAATAGTTTTATTAAGAAAGTATTTTATTATATTTGACAATAAAATTAAGTTCCAATTTCAATGTTTTTTTTTTTTTTTTTTTTTTTTTTTAAATATCGATTCTTAGTAATAAAAATATATAATTTTAAAATTATTTCCAAATAAATCCAAGCTATAGCTAATGCAAATACTATCCTAGAAATGTACATCATCTTTGATAATAGAAATATATATCTCTTAACTAAATTTATTGATAATTAAACTATAGCAATAATTTTAATATTTTTTATATTATATTGTATATATATATATATATATATATATATATTCAGAATATAATTAAATTTTCCATTAAGCATTATTTGATGCATGACATGGTTAAAAATTTACACATCTGTTCAAAATAAAAATAAAAAATAAACATATTGTAAGATTTTATCATATATGCAAGATTTAAGGTATATTTGGAATACTTAACTTAATTTTTTTTTTTTTTTTTTTTTTTTTTTTTACAATTTTAGAAGATTCCAGTGAAGTTCTTATGTGAGGTTTTGTCAAAGATGCACATGTAGCAGTTGGTTTTATTTATTTATATATTTATTCTTATGTGCAATTGGAATACTTAATCTATTGGCTTATTTAAAGATTTCTCTATTTTTGTTTTCAGATGGATTTAAGTTATTCAGTTTTTAGGATAAAATAAAAAGTTAACTCTATACTTTTCTAACTCTATATTTTTCTAAAATAAATTAATTCTCATATTATCAAATTTATTTAAAGATTTATCTATGAAATCTAGAAGAAGACTGTGGCCAAATTTAATTATGCATCAAAATGTGGTGTCATGCAGGGGAAAAAGATAAAATTGAGAGTGTAATAATATTTAATTTACTAAAACTTTCTTTAAGTTTTGAATAGACTTCTTTGCCTAACGTTCTTTCTCCTAATAAAAAGATTACTATGCCCAGCTTAGAAATTTTACAACATCTAGCCAAAAAAAAATATATTAAAATTATTGATTATTTTAGTATATTAATACATAGATTGTATTTTTAGCAATTTTATTTGAATAAGTTATATTTCTTTTAGTTTTTTAAATGTTTTAAAACTACTTACCAACTTCAGCTTAGTCCCTTACAATACAAAATATGTATTTTCATTTTAATCAAATCCAACAAATTTGATTAAAAACTCACATCTGATAAGATTATGAATCACAATTGCCTACATAAAAAACAAAGAACAAAAAATAAAAAAATCACACAAACAGCATCAATTAATCACTAGATAGTACTAGATTTTGATGAATCATAACAAAGTTAAACCTACTCAACATTTGGCATGTACTCTTCCTAATCTTTGAAAGTTTTGGAACTTCATTGTCTAGTGTATTAGGAACTATGCCCAAGGGCTAGTTTTACATGCAATAATAGTGTCACTCAGATAATGGTTATTTCGGGACTCCTGACATCATCTTAACATCGGTATTACATGTGAGATTGTGGTTGAGTGGTGGGATTCAATGAAGAATCTCCTTTGTGAAAGGTATCATTTGTGAGAGCGCTGAACAGATGTTTCATAAATCAACGTCATACTTGGTGATAAAGCAATGTACCATATGCAATAAACCTATTAAATATTATTGCTTTTATGATCTTCACTCACGCGAGGCACTGGAATTAGATTGACATTTGAGTGAGATTTGTACATTCTAGCAGTCTAGGACGTATTAGAACTGGACTTTGCAAAAAAACATGTTCTTTTTTCACTCAACATTCTCAGTAGACAGGAAAGATTGATGTCCGAAAATAATTATGCGAAATGCACATTACTCAGTAGACAGGAAAGATTGATGTCCGAAAATAATTATGCGAAATGCACTTTACTCAGTCCAAGGCCTCAGAATGACCTCATTACAATCAAATTTCTTTGAAGATTACGAATGGTGCAATAACAAACCGATATGAGAACACCTGGACTATTCAAGATGAGGGGTACAGTATATTCCAGCACAAAAAATATTGACTGTACATACATGCTTTACAGGCATGCAACTTCCACTCACAAGGCTGCCGAAACATTCAAGAGTGGAAATCAGGTACAAATACACAGTAACTCTAGATTCCTACTTCATCTGACCAACTGAACTCTTCAGCTCGGCTCAAAACTGTAATAACCACCCGCCTAAGTCGAGAATCGTAAACACTGCTCTTACATAGTAAGGCAAAGTTAGTGAATTTCTTAACCTCAGCACTACTACCCAATTAAACCACTGCATACCTTGTCTCATTGTCGACTAGTACCTTCACCACCCAAGAGTGACCAAGCACTCCAAGTGAAGAAACTCCAGGTAGTCTGTGAAATTCTTGTGCCACATCATTGCCTTGAAATGACGATGGGGCGACGGGATAGAATCCTTCTACCTGCAAACAAATACTACACCTTCAGCATAACAGTGAACACATCAGCACACATCAGAAAAACGCTTGTATCTTTCTAAGATATCGGGTTTGAATAACTCTGCGAGATTTTATTGGGTCAAGAAATTATTTTTGTAGTGATTGAAGACATACAGAAATTGTTGAGGGACATGGAACGGACCTAGATGGATCTGCAGTGCGAGAAGTGGTTGCATCTCAAACGGATTTCGCTGCAGAAGTCTCAGCTGGGACTTCTACCTCTGCCTCTGATGTTGAACTAATGGGTTCAGTAGGCGTGGAACCTATTGAAGAAGTCGAAAAGCCGTTGCTAGATTCCTCCACCTCCTCGACGGCCGGCTGAACAGCTGCAGATACCTCCTCTACGGCTGGCTCAACAGCTGCAGATGCTTTGGACTCAAGTTCAGAGGCAGTGTTCTCGACATCTGACAGCACTTCCGTTGCATCGGATTTTATGTCAGATGCCAATTCCTCTGCTTCCGCCTGAACTTTGCTTGCATCCGACTCAAGGTTAGAGATGGCCTCGTCAGCATTTGATTGAAGTTCCTTTGCAGCGGATTCGATGTTAGATTTGACTGACTCAGCACTCGCCTGAATGTCGGATGTGACTGCACCGAGATCTGGAAGTTCCACTCCGCGTTTCTCTACTTCTTCCTCGAGTTTCTCTTGGGCTTTTTTTGCCAGTGATTCTGGTGTAACAGAATCTACTCCCAATTCTTTTTCCAAAACTTGTTCCCCAGTTGCAACAGCCGCTTTGACCTCACCCTCGTCAGGTAGAAGAACTCTTCCAATTTCCTGCACCATTTTATGGGATAAAGATTTGATGATTAGACGGTGAAACTTGTCGAGGTCCGCATCAAAAGTTTAGACCTTGTCACTGATAGACGACTATCTCCAGGTTCAGTTATCACAGAATAGCTACTGGCTCCTATGTCGCAAATGATCGGCCACTCCAGCTAATTCATAAGCAAGGTATTAGATAACGAGTCCGCTGTGATGTCCCATTCCTCCAGGGCAGGAATTTAGAGGAAAAGTTGTGCCAAATTAGAGTGTGGACTGAAGTAAAGAGAGAAGATACCTTAACATCATCAACTAGATCCTTGGGTGCAATCTTAGTATCCAGAAATGTTTTGAGTTCTTGAATAGTCTTCTTCCTGTCCTGCAATCCCATCCCGCAGTCACATCAGAAATGAAACGAAGACGGAAGGGACACCATTTAAAATTGTACCGTACAAAAGTACTTATGTCGACGAATGGCAACATAGATCTTACCTCGGCAAAGAGGAAATTCTTCGCAAATAGTTGCAGCGCTGCGACTGTTCCCAACAGCTGCAAGGTTGTCTCCGCCTGTTCGATTACATGCAGAGAACAGCGTAAGGGCTCAAGTTGTGAATAATGGGTGTAATATCTAAAGATGATTGCGGTTCATGATTGTATTTTGCGTGATCGTCGTGTATCGGATGAGGTTTTCAAAGGATATGAACAAACCTCAGATAACACGACGAAACCAACACCGGCGGCTGCCGCTATTCCAAGTGTCTTCGGCAACAAGTCACCTGCGCCCTGCGTTTGTTGAAACCCAAGGCACATTTTTGAGAAATGGTTGAGGGATTCTATCAGGTGTAGAGGCAGTGTCTCCTCAAGCGAAGAAAATTGGTCCAAAAATACATACCGATTCTATCAGACAATCGAAACGAGTTTTCCATGTCTATCGAATTACTACAAGTAATTGAGAGCAGAAGGCAGTACCACATCGACTCCTTCACCAGTTCCGACAAGGTTCTTGAGGTTGCCGATATCGAATTTAAAAGCCTTGGCAGGCATCAACCATGGCAATTCCTTTTCCTGTACATTCACTCATAGCATCAGCCAAAAACTTCGACATTCGAGGAATTCAAGATTTCAAAAAATAAAAATTAAATTAAATAAAAACATTTGCCTCCAAGTTAGTCTCTAGAAGAAATGCAGGGAGAGAGAGTGGTTTTGCGATCCTCACGTTCCATCCATTCGGACCCTCAGCACCTCCTTTAATGGCATATGCACTCTTGAACCCACTATTGGCGAGGAGCTTTGCAACAGTAGCGGAATCTCCATCAAATCTATGCACACGATAGCGCAGAGAGCACATTAAGTTGCACTCTTACGACATACTGAAAAGAGACAGTATCTTAGTCGGCAGGAAGTGTGTTCACACACCGACGTGTGTAAAATATTATAAGTCATTGTGGAGGAAGATTCGCTCGCCACTCACAAACAACAACAACAACATCTACCAATTTTGTACTTTCAATCCAGTAGTCCACAGTCGAAGGTGTCATTGTCCCTTAGAGGCTTGCCGATTTACTCGAGACATGTTAACACCAGGGTTGGCACTGACTAGAGGGACATACATGCCTTTCTACACAAAGGTACCCACCATTCAAAATCTGAGCATGCGACTCACCTGTCCAAGATATAGAGAGTGGTGTTCTCAGCGTCTTTGCTCTTCGCGATGACCTTATCCACAAAAGTGTCGTCGTCGGCAGCGTAAGGTACTTTCAAGACAGTCTTCTTAATGGATTTAAGGTTGGGACTTCCCTCGGTTTTTATGTCCTCAGGTGCACGGATGTCCAGAAGTTGCGCTTTCAGTTCAGGATTGGAGAGCTTGTCATACGCTTCGACAGCCGATACAGAACCAAATGCAGCACCAGGAGCCGCAAACGCCCTAAAAACGACGAAAGGCACACTGATAGCCGCAAGCCCAGCAACGAGCGCCAGGGGATTCGTACTTATGAAATCGGACGCGCCACCAAGGTCGACGGATGGCAACTCAACGGAGGGCAACTCAATGGATGGCAACGAAATTGAAGGCAACTCGGGGAAGGAAAAGTCTTCAGAGGGGGCACCAGGCGTGGCAACAGAGGTTCTTTTCACGAAATCGTCATAATTCACAGCCAAGGCAGCAGGTGTAGCAGAGGAGACAATGGAGGCAGCCAGAGCAGACGCTGGGCGGAGAAAAGGAACAGAGGACAAACTCACTTGCGAGTTATTTTTGCTGCCAGACTCGCTCGACTCCTTGGGCGCCGATGACGACGAAACCACGACATGGGAAGTTGCAATAGCGCGGGGAAGAACCTCCATTGCGCTACAGCTGGAGAAATCCCAAAGATTTCAGCTGCTGTGCGAGGACGTTCACGGCAATGGAGCGATTGGTTGGAGACAGAATGAGCAGCTGCAAACCCACAATTCAGCTCTCGTAATGACCCCACTGAAAAGAACCCCACGAAAGAAATTAGGATGGTGATGAGTGGCGAGAAATTTAGTTGCCCAATTGTTTGGTGATGGGCGAGGGGCACAGCTCGCAGCGCAATCAGGAAAGCAGCGGCGGGCCTGAGAGCCAGGAATCCTTTATCCGCTCCCCTATCGTTGCCCTCCCGTTTCGACGAATCCGACGTGGCGACTTCCAGCACCCTACATGCCGGCTGCCACTTTCTCTCTTGAGGTTCCCCGAATGCCCTTCGTTGCATCACCTCCACCCGATTGCTGTCGAAGATCTCCCGTCGAACTCACGACCCTACGCCTACATTCAAAGAAAACCAAACATAATCGCGGAACTCGTGTGTCTAGGTCCCTTGACTAAGTGCACACAATTGGTTTTGGAGATGGGTGACAGTGAGGTGAGATGGGGTGCTTAAAGAACCAGGGTAGTCTTTCTACCTAGGAGCGTCACAGATTACCCATTTTCACTTCCTTCTGATTCCTACAGTTATGTTCTCAGGGTTCTGGGTTGTTGGTCCTGGGGCTTGTGCTGCTGTATGTATTATTGAGTTCGATGAGCAAAGTGACGGTGATGTATGCATGCATCTGTAACTTGCAATCAGGCGACGCTGAAATCACCCGAGAAGGCTCGCCTTGGCGGAATTACTTAGACTTCGTGGTAGCGCAACTCAACTGACACTTGCGACGAACTGCCGAAACCAGAAATGTTCCACTACAAAACTTGTTTTTGCAACAAGCCAAAGCTCAGGAGCTTCCTTACCAACTCCGAAGAAACTTTGTACGACTGCGAAATGATTTGATGAAAGATAGTAAAAAATGGTTTTGTAGGTGAAATAAAATACACTTGGCCACTTGCAGTTCGTTCAAAGCATGTACTCAAAGCATGGCACAACCCATGACTGACTCCACAGGACTATCACGAGTATCTCTCTGACTCCAACCTTACGACATTTTACAACATCACCAGGGTTGCAGCAATTCGCCGATCATGTTATTCTACAGAAAGGACCTCAAACACAAAACAATCCATCATCAAAAGCAGTCATACACTGTGGTTTCAAAACAACCTTTCTGCTCTAGAAAAGGACATTAATCCGTGGAAATGATGTACAATGTCGGCAGATCACAATGTAGGTTTTGTGATCTGCCGATGCACAAGCAGGAACCAAGAGTGACCAGTTTGTTGAAGGAATTGTGAAGAAATGACAGTTTTCTGAGTTGGTAGGATTGTCTCAAAGCTACCACCACACATGCACATTGTGCACACTAGATAGTGCAGGGATTGCGCCAAAGTATTTCAGGGATACATTGTTTTGTGAATGTTTTGTTTTGTAGATATTAGGTTTTGTTCATGCTCTAGTAATGTTTTGGAGCAGTGTGTTAGGACAAATAGTTTTCTTTTCTTTTATTTCGTTTTTGGTTGTTGTTGGAGGTAATTGGTTTTGGTGTCCATCATGCTTCTTGCTTTGATATTTGATTGGTCTGTCTTTTCACATATGTGATTTGTGAATGTCAAAATCACTTTTTTATTTATTTATTTTTGTTTGTTTTGTTTGTGTATCTAAATATCCTATTTAAACTTTAAAAAAATGGAAACTCTTAGGTGGACACCACTCTTTTATTCCATAGACACCCTCCATGCCACTCTTTGGCTCATGTTTGTTCATGTGAATTTATTAGTGTCCAATTAGTGGTCCCCTTAATAATTAGCAAACTCTTATATATATATGTATGTATATATATATATATATATATATAGTTAGTGGCAAATTTTTATAAGTACTGTGTTGTTGTTGTTGTTTTTCTTTTCTTTTGTACACTATTTCAAACACATCAAATTATTTCAATAGATGAAAATATAAAAGAACATCAATAAATTCACATTAGCAAAATATGGATCAAAGGGTGTTACATGGAATATCTATGTGATAAAAGGAGGGTGTCTACCTAATAATTTCTAAAACAATAATACAAATTATGAAGGAATTTTAAACTTGATTTTTTTTATATTAGCTTAAGATATTATATTATTTTTGTATTTTTTTATTTTTTTATAATAATTTAATTATAATTTTAAGATCACATAGTTTAAAATAAAAATTTGTTTATCTTAGTAGTATTGTGTTTAAGAATTTGTATTAAATACAAAAATAAATATTTTTAATTAATTAAAATATGAGTTATTATGTTAAAGTGATTATAGAATTAAATATTTTTGTTAGACAAAAACCATTTGACACCAAAAATATGTTTTGATTCCTTCTAATATTACATTTAGATCAATTCATTTTGTATAGAATAGTTTATTCTACATGAGTTGCTAATTTTTTAATTGAATTATTCTAATTTCTTAAAAGAATTGATAATACTTTATCCTTTGGTATTCTTAGAAGAATCCAACTATCTTATTGTATTTAGATACTAATTTATCTATCAACTTATGGTTTTTGGCTTGTACCTTTAATTAAAATAAACTATAAAGTTATATATTGAAAAGAGTGAAAGTCATTATTTCTTCTAATTTTATTCTATTAATATATCAAAAATTATTTTTTTTGGTATAAAATTATTTTTTAAATTACTATTATTATTTTATTATGAAATATTTTGATAAGTAATATTTAATTAAATATTATTAATTTTTTGTCAAATGTAAAAACTATTAAATTATAATATTGATGTTTTTTTGTAACAAAAGTTGACATTAAGTATTTTCTTTATTTTTATTTACTATTACAAACATTCTTAAAATATATTTTTTTTTAAAATGATTCTACTACTTTATTTTAAGTTTTCTAATTCATTTATCAATCGTCTTTCTTTAGTTTGTTTGTTTGTTTGTTTTTTTTTTTTAAATAAAATCTTACATTTAATTAAAATATTAGTAATTTTATTAGATTAAAATACTCCAATTTAATTTTTAGTTTTTTAAATTATAAATAATATTAATACATACAAGAAATATATTATAAAGATAAAATTAATAGTCCCAAATCTTATCAATATGTTGTATTACAAATTCTGATTTTTTTGGATCGACACTCCTAGTTATCTTGGTTACCTGAAATTTAATTAAATTTAACGGTTATATAAATTTATAAAAATAAAACAACAACTATTAAAGAAGATAAACAGCTCAAGAGGCATTAAAATGTGACAAATCTTGGAATTATCAAGAGTGGTTGTTGCCAATACAACGGCAACTTAAAGGCCAAGTCATTTAGTTGAGAAAAATCTTGGAAAGAAATCCAAAGGATTAATTTAGGATTAAATTAAGGATTAGGGTTAACTTGAGGAAGAATTAAAAGGCAATATCCTTGATTTTTGGAGGTTCTTGTGCACTCTATTCTACATGATTATTTAAGCTGACAGAACCCTCTCTATGCAGATTCTTTGTTACATTGCGTTTTTATCTATATGATTAATTGATTTAGTGTTTTATGTAGAATGGCCCAAAGGATGTATTGTTGACATGTCAGATTTGGTGTGAGCTAGGGCAGGCTAAGCAGTTCATGTGAGTGTTTGGTCCTTGCAAGAATATCCTTAATCCCTATTCCAAATCATGGCATTCTAACAGTTTTACCAATTATTCATAATAATAAAATATATTTCAACATATAGTTAGTAGTTGATATGACAAACATATGTTGTTTGTACATTTATTATACTTTATTCTTTATATCATTAAGCATCTGTAATCAATATCTTTAAGACTTAATATAATATGACCTTCAACCACTAAATAAAGACATTTGTTTAAAAGAAATATTTAGATACAAAAAGTTAATTGAATATGTAAATAATCTTAAAATATTTATCATATAAAATTTCACAAAAAAATTACATATCAATTCTGTAACATTTCTAAACCACTGTGATTTATTGTCCTTGCAATGTCAACATCCTTTGTTCTCTAACTATTCTATCACTAGAACCAAATTCTGTTTGCATACATATCAAATTCAGGTATTTCTATTCAAAAACAATTAAAATCTCCTAAAGTTAATTAGTTTCACTACCAATAGATGACAAACCATGAAAACACATTAAAAAGTGTTTTTTTTTATAGGAAATTTGAGAAATAAGACAAGAAAATCACATAAATTATAATTAGAAAAGAGTTTTCTTTGAAACGAATGAAAGAAAGAAAAATAAATGAAATTAATTCTTAATGTATTTTCTCCTTTGCTCCATATTTGTATTAAACCAAAGTCAATATTAGAAAATTCTTCCACCCTCTTAGTACTCGAAGCTCCTACTCTAATAATGCATCAAATAAACCCAATTTAATTGTCAAACAACCTAAATATATATTAAAAATTCTTCAAAACAATATACCCATGTACTTAACAATTTATCACCAATTCTTTCCCACTCCACTAAACTCTCAGTGACCAGAGTCTCCCCTTTGGTACTTTCTCCACGACCTTCTCCTCCACTCCCGTTACAGTATATCCACTAATGTGATAAATTCTATCAAACAATATGATACTAAAAATGAGCATATCATACATTGTGAGGAGCAAAACATATCTTGAAAGTTCCATTATCAGAAAAAAGTACAATGACGCACAATGCTGTGCAAAGAATCTGAGGATCATGAACTATTCCGTTAGCAACACTAGCTCAATCCGTCAATCAGGTTAGAGGGTGTTGTTAGCCCTATGTTCGCTGTAGAATCTGGATTGACAGATATGTTATCTGTGGGGAAGCTATCCAAAAAACATGCATGCGATTATCTGATGACAGTTTCTCTGCTGCAAAACTGCCGTAACTTCTCCACTTCAACGTCTTTTGGTTTCGATCCAGAGGAAAATGTCCATTGCTTTAACAATCTCAATGCTTCATTTGTGTTTTGTGTTTCGGAATGTGATTCGAGCTTAAAAGTGGCCGAATGCGGTGGTCAAAATTAAGTTTTGTCTAGAGTACGAACCTGAGAGAATGCGCCAAGAGAGACCAAACAGATTAAAAGAATTTAGATGCTAGAAGATTTGTCGAAGGCTCGTGCAGTGGACCCGATTTCTCTGGTGATGAGATCACAAGAAGAAATAGGATTCTAGTGCACGCGCGCAAATGTATGGCATTCAGAAGTGGCCGTCCCAATACTGACTTGTTGAGATACGCGCTGTAGATGACGAAGCACGTCGCGAGACTCCGTTGTGGTATGTGGCGATTGTGCTTTGCTCAGATGTGCAAAGTGACAGCGCGATCAGCGTAATTCACAGCGCTGCGCTGCTCGAACTCAGCTGCAATAGTGGCGGTGGGGTGTCGGGTGACGTCAAATTTCTCGCCGTCTCCCCACAGCGCGTATGCCTCCTCCCCATGCTCCGCGTCGTCACCGACCAACAAGTGCTCTTCCGACATGCGGAGCGGTGTGACGAGCCCGATGGCGAAGAGGATGAGCGTTGTGAGCACCAAGTTCCACCCAGCGATAAAAAGAGCGCCAACGATCTGCTTCAGAAGCTGGATGCCGCCGTTACCACCGTAGAATGCTCCATTAGTGTAGTCCCCGGCTACATGCATGTATTTGCAGAGTGTGGGGTCTGCGAAAAGGCCCACACAGATACCGCCCAAGACCCCGCCGACACCGTGTGTGTGAATTACGCCTAATGTATCGTCCACTTTCTGAAGCACCCACCATCTCTTGTGAAGAACCATCATGGTCCACCAGGGGATGCTTCCAGCTAATATCCCCATAAGTAAGGCGGACCATCCTGGCACCAAACCTGCCCACAGTAGCTAACATGATCAATCGTCCAGATACATCTAAGCTCTGCTCCTACAAACCCTCAGGAATATGGTTCTCAATACGTCAGAAAGCAGCATGGATTATTCTACATGGCATCAAAGATGATAGAAGGCGTACCTGCAGCTGGTGTGATAACCACAAGACCTGTCATCACGCCTTGAACGGCACCAATAACAGAAGGCTTTCCGAAGAAGAACACGTCCATGGCAGTCCATGTCAACATGCTCGTAGCGGCAGATATATGGGTGTTGAGAACAGCTAAACCAGTGACGACGTGAGCGCTGAAAGACGCTCCGCCGTTGAAACCTGACCACCCCAGCCATAACAGCCCTGCACCTGTAAGCACAAGCAGCATGTTGTTGGGAGGAAATCTCTCGCGATCCTTGGGTAGTCTCGGTCCAACCTGCAATGTAACCACCAGCAATGTCAGCCGCAGGTCGACCGACTCTTGGCATACACTAAATGATTAGTATGTGTCCTATGTAACCTGAGCATCGATGATGAGATAAATGTACCCAGTAGGCCGCAACGAAACCAGCAGCGCCGGAGGAGACATGGATTACGTAGCCGCCGGCATAGTCAATGACACCCCATTGCCACAGAAACCCGCCTCCCCACATGGTGAAAGCTCCAACTGTATACGAGAACGTGAGCCAAAGCGGCACAAACAACATCCAGGCTCGAAAACTCATACGCCCCAGGACAGAGCCCGCCAACAGGATAACCGTGAGGGCGGCGAAGAAGAACTGGAACAACACCATACTGGCCATTCCGAAATGTGCTTTCAGAGCTGGCGTCACTAGAGCTCCGTTTGAATCATAGTGAGCTGAGGATGGCAGGCCCGCCTGGGACAGCAAGAATTCAAATCCCAGGACAGAGCCCGCCTTGCCCCAGATCGGAACCAGCTGCTCCCCAAAAGACATTTTATAAGCCCATAACACCCAGCAAATTGCCGTAGCTGCAAAGGCATACAATGCCATGAACGCTGAGTTCACCGCCCATTTCTTCTTCACGATGCTACCATACAAGATGACCAAGCCCGGCATACTCTGAATTCCTACCAACGTAGCGGCTGCCAATTGCCATGCGGCGTCTCCCTTGTTCAACCACTCGGGCTCAACTCCATAGCCGCTGTTTGTGTAAGCAGAGGTGACACCGGGAGGTAGAGGAGGTGGCGCCTCCATCCTCAATGCAATCGAAAGGACTTGTAACCCAAAGAGATCGTGGGGCTTCGAATCCACAGAAACCCCGCCACAAGGGATTCCAGTATCTGAATGAGAAGATGGGTACTAGCCCGTTCACAACGATTGTGTGTAGAGACACACTACCTAATTGTCACCCCCTTGGTATCATATACCGTGAACACACCTACCGCCTCTGCTCTGCAAAACGCAAACCCAGGATTTGAACTGGTTTTCAGATTTTATATCCATGAATGTTTTTTGTATCCGAAATGTTGTGCGCAGATGACAAAAAGCATAACTCCTATATACTTAATAATTGGAAGCTCCCTATACCCTTTAAACTAGATCACCCTTAGCTGCCTTGGAAGCCCAAACCGCGGAAACCGGCGCCGTAAATCGAGAGCGTGAGGAGCAGGATGGACAATCCGAAGCTCCGAAGAGCTCGAGTCGTCACAGAACAGCATAGCAAAGTAGAGTTGTGCTCTAGCTTCTGTTTACAGATCAGCCGAAGGAAATATTACAATGCTTTGCGTCAAAAACACACTGCTCACGCAGCAGATACCAGAAACAGTGAGATGAGATGTAGACAAAACTGCTACACTGAACCAACATTTTGATGGCCTAAATAGCACCCAGCCACTTGAGGCTCCTCTCGCCATAACTCATTCGTGGCACTCGAGGGAGGATGCATCATGTGCTGGAGATTCCGCATTACAATTCCCTGGCTAATACGTCCACGCTCTTCAAAGTGCAAATATATCACGTCGCAGCACGAATGCGAATTATCCGCTCAAATCCATTTCTCATTCCATTAGCCTTATCACACATCCGATCAAACCCCTTCCCCCATGTCTCATCCTCTCGCTCAAAGAAAGTCGAATCAGACAAATGACCAATCTAGGGGAATGCATAACTATTTCCACCCTCAGTTAAATTTTGTTCCTACTACAGACCGCAACCTTTTTTTATAATTCTTTTCTTTTCTTTTTTCCCAGGAAATCCCATGACCCACCAAGGTAAATCTAATTCCCAACAACACCGGAAGGAGCAGCGTCGAGACGCTCCACGTCCACGAAAACCAGGATCAACGGCCAACTAGAAAACGCTCCTAGTCGCCGCGCAACAATCCCGCATGCGGCGGCCAACTAAGTTTGGTATCGAATAAACCGATCCTGCCGCATTAGATTGACGGAGAGGGATCCAGGTAGCCCCGCCCGGAAAAAGGAAACTTAGCCTCTACTCAGCATGGGTGGGTGTTTTTTTATTATTATCTATTTCTCCCCTTTGCCGCTAGACGTCGAGAGTGCGGCTCCCCCTCCGCGGCGTCGGCAAGGGCGATGGCTGGCAAGGGCTGTTGGGAAATCCGCAGATTCGTGGTCTGGAATTGGAATGGCAATTTCCCCTCTGCCTCGCCTACCACGATGGAACCAGGTTTAAATATCTTGATGTAAAATGATAATCGGATTGGAGGATCATAAATGTCTGCATAATGGTTTGTGGCTTCAAACGGATACGAAGCATAATACGACTTATGTCCTCTGGGATTCACACCCACAACAGATAACAGTGCTCATTTGTGTTAAATCATACTATTTTTTGCCCTTTATAAAATGGAAGAGGTGCAATATGGAAAACCGTAATTGAGTTGGAATATATTGTTTTCATACAGCAAAATGCCATTAAGCAAAATATCTTCATGGTAGGTTTTCATAAAGCAAATCTAAGAGCATGAACTGCAAAAATCAAAACTTTAACAGTGATGTGAATGTGTCTCACGAGGTTAACCAAGACACTGTTATTTTGGAATCAAATTAACATTTAAGGTAGTAAAAGATTGACAAACAGCATAGCAGTGTGGAGAGTTTGTGTACTTTGATATCTGATTATTATTGAAATAAACTAAAAATTTAAAACAACACAAAGGAAGGCTATCCTTAAAATGGAATAATTAAGCGAATAATGAAGTTCATGGTATCTATATATGACTGTGTCGTATATATCAGAAACACTATTAATACTATTGGCTAATAAAGTCCACAATATGAAAAAAGCAATTCATATAAATTATACTCTTAAAATTATTAAGTAGAGAATTGATTTACTATGTGCAAGAATAAGTTCTTGTTTGATGTCTCATAAGACCTAGTTTCAAATATTTTTATCATTATTATAAATTACTAATTTAACATTCTTAGTCATGCAATACAAAATGACTAAGAGGCATAGTAATAGCAATAATAATAATAACATTACTAAACATCCGTCGCAAATCATTGTGACACTGCTTTTAAGATGTTCTTCTGTCCATGCTCAATCTGATTTTTTCTTGTGCACATATCAATGTAGATGAAAAAATATATAGTTATATAAAAAATTCAAATAAACTAAAACAAACTAAAAAAAACATCTGAGAATTTTGAACTCTGCTTTGTGTGCAAATTTTTTTAAAAAATATAAACAAACAAAAATTAAAAACCGAATTGTAATTCACCTGACTCTATATATTGAAAACCAGACAATTGTCAAAGGTTAACCTAAATGAAACTTTGTAATATCAAACATAATTATTTTTGAGTTTTGTAATTCATCTGAACAATTGAGGCGAGAAAATTGATATGACCAAAACAGCTGACAATTAGCCAATGTAAAATTTATTTTTTTCTTATTTTTTTGAATGATAATATTGATAATATGCCCCTTGGAATTGGGTGTGCCTTCAAAATATCAATTTCTACAATATAATTAGAAGAGATAAATCTCTCAAAAGATACAAGATACAATTCATTTTTTTGCTATTTTGACTCATCTAAACAAGAATCATAGATAAAAAATCCAACACCATCTTATAAATCAAACAAAGAGACAAAAGTGGAGCCCACAAAATACTTCTATTATTGAAAACTTCCAATGAATACTTACAAAACAATAAAACTTGACACACATTCTTCCAATCTAGTAAAAAAGTGGATTGATTTAGTAAAAAAGTTAGTTAAGTTAATAAGTTTAATTAAAAATTATAATTAATACAAATAACAAGCATAAAATGTATCAATAAGATGTCCATATTTTTTATTATTATTATTTATTTAACAAATTTATCTTATATCTTTAGCATGATATATATATATATATATATATATATATATATAGCCTTTATTTCAAAGCTATCTTTTAATGTATCAATTAGATTGTATTGGAATAATTATCTAACAAGTAATAGGTATTGAATAAAAAAAAAATCTAAATGGATTTTTATATTATAACATTTAAAAATATCCTAAACCTTTAATTATGTCTAATTGTTTAAAAATGAATTTTCTACAATTGATTGCTTATTAACAAGTCACTTGAAAAATTTGAGAAACTATCCAATATTTATGTCCATTAACACCCATTGATAATAGAAAAATGAAGTAAAAAGATTAAAGTACAAGCTAGCTATATATTTTATGATATTAATATTTTTTAAAATATAATTATTAATTATAGTAATTAAATTTTTATTTATAAATTTTAGATTATTGTTGATATCATTAATGCTTTACATATTATAACGTTCTTAATATTAAGATATAGATACTCTACTAAATAATTAAAAATAACTCTTTTAGATTTAATTTTATTAATACAATTAGTTGTATTAATTTTTATCAAAGATATTATTTATATTATTATACTTTATAAATATTATAATTAAATAAATAATAATAAATTAAATTTTATAATTTTGGTAAATTGATATATTATTATAAATATAGAGTCAAAAGAACTTGACATTGAAAGATCCATAATAAAGACTTTCATTGTTTTAGAATATGTAATGGGTGAAGAAGTCCATAAGATCAATGATGAAGAGACTTTGATCTTGAACAAATGTCACATGATTGTACAAAGCCTTTAATTATCTTCTACATTTGAGACCACTAAAAATCTCTAGATATTAGTTCCAAAATTTTGTTTTATCCAAAATGTCCAATTGCTGGAAAGTTATGATGAGCTTCAAGAATATGTAATCATGCTTTGCTTTTTAGAATATATAATTATTCCTTGAAATAAAGTAGATTATTCTTGAATTCAAACTTAAAAGTATCTTGAGACTTAAAAGAATTATTCTTAATATTATAAATAAGAAGATTAGAAGACATATTCAATTGAACTTGCTCAAAAATGGTTGAATCAATAGTTAATATTGATTTTATTGTTCAAAGATAAAAATGCTAAATTCTTTATATGTCAAATATATAAGAAGAGTTGCAACTTGAAAAAAATTCTTGATAAAGATTTGATAATAATAAGTAAATCTCAAAAAATATTGCATATGTCTAATTGTTTTTGAAATCTTTTAATCTATGATAGTCTAAATCTTTTTAAGATCTATTATAAAAATATCATTTGAAATAATATATCCTAAGAAGATAACTTGAGTAGTATAAAATACATACTTTTTCATCTTTGCATATAATCATGCATCTCTTGGTTTTTACAACACACTACAAATATGAAGTTTAAGTTCTTTTATATTCTTAGAATAGATTAAGTGTCATGGACATAATCATGTAAGCTAGTAATTACATATACAAATAGGTAGAAGTAAGTAAAAGTAGGTAAAAATAAGTTAATTCTATAGTATTTAATATAAAAGCTTCCTAGAAGCTTTATAGACACTATTTTGACTTCATAGGTGTCTTTAATTGACTTTTTGGATTAGAAACGTGGTCAACAAGTTGGCCATGTGCCACACATGTTGTTAGCTTGAAGATCAAGCTAACTATGTGGCCCACATGTAGAAAAACTTGCCTTGTAAGTCAAGGCATGTGTTCTACAAAGTCAACACATATTGAAGGTTCTATAGAACGTCGCCACGTAGCTCCCAGTTAGATAGTATATATAGAGACAAGAGTGAAGGCTTCTTCACTCTTGTCAACTCCTTTCTTGCTTCTAGTCTAGTTTCAAGGGTCTCTAGTTTTCTTGTCTTTTGGCAATAGCCATTCCGGTTTCTCTTTCAATATACATATTTATTTATTTATATTTTGTTATCTTTCTTTGACTGAAGGCTCACTTGTCTGAATTGTTTTTTTATCGAGTTCTTGTCCTTGACAGATTGACAAGAGTATACCTACAATATCAGAGCTTTGTCTAATCTTGATTAAGAGTGGATTACCCCTTTTTTTTGATAAGATATAAGCATACTAGAAGTTACGGATTACCCTCTTCTAAACTGATATTGTCCTTAGTATTTTCTTTGTTCTCAAGTCCTCTCTTCTATTTGTCTTGAGCGATATTAGACATCTTTTCTCTTCTAAGTGTTATCATGGCAGAACTTGTTGAAATGAAGAGTACAATGGCACAAATGCAAGAACAATTGAGGGAGTTAATGCTTGCAATGCATCAACTCAATTTACCACCACAAGGAGCAACAAAATTGGCAGGAAGTGAAGATATAGAAATGGTTGGATCTGCTTCAATATCTGTACCAAACTATGTTCTTTCTCCTATGGTGGAACGCCCTTCAAATGTTAGAGAATCAAGAATTTTCCTATCCGAGAAGTTTGATGGCACCAGATCCAAGTTTCGAGGATTTATCAATCAAGTGCAACTTGAGATTGAACTTCAACCCCAAAGCTATCCAACTCTAGGATCGCAAGTTAAATTCATTGGTACCCTTTTTTCAGGTTCAGCACTATCGTGATTTTCATCTTTTCTTGAATGACGAGATCCAATATTGGATAATCTAGAGGCTTTTTTGGTAGAGTTTCGATCCATGTATGAAGAACATGATGCAATTCGTGTTGCAACCAATAAGATCCGTATTTTACGACAAGGCAATCGATCAGTAACGTT